CGGCGGCCGGGGGGGGCGGCCGGACAAGCCGGGTGCTGGCGGGACACAGGCCCGCGCCGACCGGAGGCGAGGGGAGCCGGGACGGGGCTGCACCGCTGCTGACGGTTAACGGGGCACAGGATGGGGACGGGATGGGGACGGTCCCGCAGGTGGGCTGGTGCCACCGGCCCGCCTGTGCAGCTGGGCATGGCTCTGTCCCTCTGTCCTGCACCCCTGGGCACTGTCCTGTCCCTCTGTCGTGTACCCCTGGGCACTGTCCCGTCCTTCTGTCCTGCACCTCTAGGAATGACACCGTCCCTCTGTCCTGTACCTCTGGAAACAACCCTGTCCCTCTGTCCTGCATTTCTGTGTGCCATCCTCTCCCTCTGTCCTGCACCTTTGGGCACTGTCCCGTCCCTCTGTCCTGCACCTCTGGGCCCTGTCCTGTCCTTCTGTCCTGCACCTCTGGGAATGACACCGTCCCTCTGTCCTGCACTTGTGTGTGCTGTCCTGTCCCTCTGTCCCACACCCCTCTGGAAACAACCCTGTCCCTCTGTCCTGCATTTCTGTGTGCCATCCTCTCCCTCTGTCCTGCACCTTTGGGCACTGTCCCGTCCCTCTGTCCTGCACCTCTGGGCCCTGTCCTGTCCTTCTGTCCTGCACCTCTGGGAATGACACCGTCCCTCTGTCCTGCACTTGTGTGTGCTGTCCTGTCCCTCTGTCCCACACCCCTGGGCAGAGCCCCCCACCCCCCCCCCCCACCCCTGCCGGGGTTGGGGGGCCTGCCGGCGGGGGGGGGGGGGGGGGGCCCAGCCTGCAGCAGGCCCGGCTTGCAGCCGCCATCCAGCTGTTACCCGGCTTCCCAGATGTGACGGGCTGGCATGGGGTGGGACCGCCCTGTCCCTGTCCCTGTCCCTGCGCCGGCCCCGGCGCTGCGACAGCAGCTATTTCCAGCGCCCGGGTGTATTTGTACAAGCCGGGGAGGTCTGCACCCTGCAGCCGGGTGCCCGCCCTGCGCCCGGGGTGCCCCTGCCCACCCGGGGGTCGCAGCTGCCCGAGGTGCCCGGCAGTCACCGGCGCGCAGGAAAAGCTGAGTAACAGAGGTGACTTATAAGAATGTCATTATCTATATTCCTGACTCGCTACCGCAGGAAAACAGGCTATTTTCATGCCCTGTGCGTGTGCAGAATTTAGCAGGCAGATAACTCCCAGCAGACGGGAGATGCTCGGAGGGTTATTTCGGGCTGTGTTCCTTTCCAGTCGTTTTTTCTCGCATTTCTTTATTTTATTTCGCCACGCCAGGCTGTGTTTTTACCTTGGCACGGACAGCGGTAGCGGCGGCCCCCGGGGTTTTTTCCCGCCCCCCCTCCTCTGGGTCTAAACATCAACTTTTCCACTATCGGCTCCGGGGGATATTTCAGGCGGCAGCAGCGTCATCCTGCAGCCTTTGATGCCGCGGATCCCCAGGGGCCTCGCGAGGTTCCCGGCTCCGGCCATGGGGCAGCCCAGGCTGTGGGGACCCCCGCCGCGGGCGGGTGCTGACGGGACCCGGGGTCCCCGGGCAGGGACAGCTCCCTGCCTGCTCGCCGTGGCTGGATGTCACTGTGGCCCCGTGGTTCGCCCCGTGCCGGACATGGGGATAGGGGTTGCAGCCCGTCGCTTCGCCCTGCCCCGTCCCCAGGGTGCGGGGTCACAGTGCAGCGGGTGAACGTGGGTCCCACGCCCGCCCTGGGGGAACGCCTGTCCCAGGGGGGTGCCCACCCTGATGGGATACCCGTCCCAGTGGGATACCTGTCCCGGAGGGATGCCCTTCCCAGGGATGCCCGTCCTGGGGCTATGCCCACCCCTGTGGGATGCTTAACCCGGGGGAAAACCCATCCCAGGGGGATGCCCATGCCAGCAGGGCACCTGCCAGCCCCGGAGCTGCGCCCCACCTTTGCCACAGCCTTTCTCCGGCTGCAGCCAGACCCCACGCGCAGGTACGGGGCCACGTGTGGGGCCAGTGGCCGGTCCGGCCCCCCCGCG